TATGTATTACGCTTTTATCTTAAAGTGTTACTAAACCCCCAACAGTAAAATTAGTCTGTTTATGCAGTAAAGCATGTTTGTTATACTCACTACAGAACCCAAGGGGTTAATCGTCTACATTGTGTAAAAGGACATTTGATCCTGTCTTCTCCAATCCTCTCCTCCTTCCACAGCTCCCAAGTCATCTGCTGAGAGAACAGAGCCTTGGGGAAAAGCTGCACATGCTCAGTTTGGTGTGTGTTGCTAGATAGTTTTTTTTGATAGTTTTTTCCTGGGAGAGTGCATGTGATCAGCACAGGGCTAAACAGCGCTGTCCAGACAGAAAGTCAGGGTTCCTGTAGCCTCATAGGACAGTCAGGGGAGAATGAAAACTCCTCCTACATGCTTTAACCAGTGCACTGCTGGACACTGATAGAAGTCACAAAACTGCTATATACCGCTGATGAGAAGAGGTATTTAGCAGTTTATATTTACTAAAATAATTGCATTTCCATGTTGTGTGTACTGTGGGAGACCAGATATAGTGATTGCAGGGTCCTGGGTTTAGTAATAACTTTAAGTCAAGACAAAGTTAGGTCCATAGGAGGTAAACAGGTGTGAGAGGCAAAGTGGTTAAAGTGTGCACTTCTCTTTACTTCCGGAACTATAAGAATACACTCTTTGTAAAATAAGAATGCCGCCTTGCCAAGTGAACCCTGGTCCTTTTTTTAAATAAATCACAATGAAGTTGCAGATGTTACAGTAAAATATGCTCTCTGTTTATAGCCCTGATTTTTATTTTTTTCATTCTCTTAAACTCACAGGCCTGCTGGGACAGACAGTGAGCTTGGCTGAAACCTGAGGCACCTATGCCATCTGATATTATCTGCTCTGGCAGAAACTGATAGGACCACTAGAAACTGTAGCATTGACACAGAAGTTATCTATATCTAATGTTGGAACAGCTTGATATAATCAATTCTGATATTGTACTGCACTGCTCACACTCTCACTTTTACAGGAGACTACTGTACTGTTTAAAGAGTGCTTTTTCATTTTCCTAATTTGAACAATCCTGAAGAGAATGTAGTAAACAGTGTTCATCTGTCCTGCATCTTCTATAAGGATATCCATAAGAATATATGAACAACTCAAGGGACAGCAGAACTTTACCAAAAAACCTTGATAATATAATGGCAGATCATCCATAAATATATCTTCAGAAACGGAAACTCTGCAACACACCGATCCTCATCGATCGAAATAACAGGATGTGGACTCCTGTCATCTGTGGGGCGGCTTGCTTTTGCTTGATTCCCCATTGATGTCAGCTGTTCGTTTCCTGTGAGTGAATATTTAAGGAGGTTGAGACGTCTCACATCTATCCGCTCCGTGAGGACGTCGATGACGAAACGCGTAGGGCGGAGCTTGATTGATGTGACGTCATTACGTTTTTTGGCTGCCAGCTACTGCGCATGTGCTGAGTAGCCAGGCTCGTTTATGTTATTGCTGTTATGCTGTTGATGCTGGTGTCGGCTGGGACACCTCTTGAGTAAGTGCAATGAGTACCTAATAAAGGAATTGGTTTTTATAATATTGCACCATGAAGTCTTTCTGTTTCTCTCGAGTGTTTGGCATTTCCCCCCATGGATACGTTTGAAGGTGGTCCTTTATCTATTGGAGAAGTGGATTTTCGATTAACTATAAAGTTTTTCATCCTGTTATTTCGATCGATGAGGATCGGTGTGTTGCAGAGTTTCCGTTTCTGAAGATATATTTATGGATGATCTGCCATTATATTATCAAGGTTTTTTGGTGAAATTTTTTCATATTTAGACACTTTTTTTGCACAAAAGTTTTTTGCACTTAAAAGTTTTTTTATATTTTTTTGTGGTATTGGCATATATATATTTTTTTCTGGACTTATGATTTGATGATTTCTTTATATACATTTATATATTTATACACATTTACTAGCGCAAATTATTTATTTATTGGTACACTTTATATATGGTGATTTTTTGCAGCTGGTACACTATTAGTAAGTTATATAATTTTGACCATAGGCGCTATTATTAATTTTTCTTACAGCAGAACTTTGGCTTTAGTGGAGCTCCAAATGTGTCACAACCATTCTGAAACTGGAAGGAGATCTTCCAAACATGTTTCCAGATAGTGCTGATGACCTGGTGGCATCTTCATTATTTATATATATATATATATATATATATATAAAAACCAAATAATATTTCATTATATATTGTAATGTATTACCAATAAAATAATCAAATACAATTCCAAAAAAGATTTAGATTATACTTCCAATTTTCACTGAATTGATCCAGAAAATGTTTCATTATCCTGAGCGTCACAGCCCTCATTGATCATAGGGATCTCATAGCTCTTGCTGGAGTCATGAAGAAATTTATTTTTCCCATGTGGGATGTAATTTGCAAATCTTACGCTAAGAATTTTGTGTTTGCCTTCCTCTAAATCAATAGCTTCATAAATATGGGATGAGATCCTCTTATATTAACTCTGCAGCTAAATTTAAAGGCAAGTTACCAACTTGAATCAAACTTATGTAGCACAACGGTTTAAAAAAAAAATAGCAACTTATTCAAGCTGGAGTCCTAACAAAAACAGTCAGGCAGCTGTTTACTTGTGCAAAATGGTAAGCAAATCAAAAACACATGTATTAATTTCACTGTAAAGCAAAGTGGAAGTAAACCCACTTTTGTATCTTTTACCTACAGGTAAGCTTACAATAAAGCTTACTGAAGGTAAAATGATTACCTCCTAAACGTGCACCGTTTAGGAAATATTTGCTCTTTGTCTGCTGGAGCATGTGCTCTGAAGGCCGTTCCTTCAGACCACTGTGCCATGTCCCGAGACTGGCCAGTCAGGCGGCCAGGACTTGCGAACTGGGACGGAAGACAGAGTGAAGATGGAAGCTTCTGCAAGGGGGACAATGCGCCGCTGGAGGGCTTCATTTTAAGGTAAGTCCTGCATAATGTGCTAGTATGCGATGCATACTAGGACATTATGACATTAGCATTCAGGGGATTTTTTTTTCTCTCAAGCTGTGGTTTACTACCGCTTTAGTACTTTGGAAATGTCCCTTCTGTAGGATCCATAAGTGAGGTACATTGGCCATTCAGAAAAAGACAATTCCATCTGTGTAAAGAATTTTGGTTCTAGAACAAAAAAAGTGGCACACTTGCTGACTGGACAAATACCTTTTTCCCACTGTTACACATAAAACTCTGATAAAAAAATTGTGTGAAAATGATGAAGGAAGGTGAAGGTTTTTTGTTATTTTAGAAAGAGGTTTCAAAGAACAGCTGATTCAAAGATTAAGGAAGGTATTTTTGTTGGTTCACAGATCATTATTATTATTATACAGGATTTATATAGCGCCAACAATTTGCTCAGCACTTTACATTATAGTGGGAGACAATACAGTAACAATACAGTTCAATACAAGAGGGATTTGAGGGTCCTGCTTCTTGGAGCTTACAATCTAATAGGGAGGGGTTAGTGGTACAATAGCTAAAAACTGTGGGGGATTTAGTGGTTGGAAGAGTAGAGGATTCCAGTATTAGCAGAGGGTGGGAAAAGCTTCCCTGAAGAGATAGGTTTTCAGTGATCGCCTATAAGTCAGCAGAGTAGGTGATAATCTGATAAATTGGGGGTAGGGAGTTCCAGAGGATGGGGGAAGCCCTGGAGAAGTCCTGGAGCAGAGCATGGGAGGAGGAGACAAGGGAGCTAGAGAGTAGGAGGTCTTGTGAGGAGCGGAGAGTACGGTTTGGGTGATATTTAGAGACAAGATCGGTGATGTAGTTTGGGGCAGTGTTATGAACGGATTTATATGTCAGTGTTGGTGTTTTGAATTTTATTCATTGGGCAACTGGAAGCCTGCGGAGGGATTGGCAGAGGGGGTGGCAGATACAGAACAGTTAGTAAGATGGATGAGTCTGGCAGCAGCATTCATGATAAACTGAAGTGGGGATAGCCTGTGATGAGGTAGGCCAATGAGGAGGGAGTTACAACAGTCGAGGGAGTGAATAAGTTGCTTAGTGGTTTCCGGGGGTTAGGAACGGTCGTATCTTGGAGATGTTGCGGAGGTGAAGTCTACATGATTTTGTCAGCGATTGGATCTGGGGCTGGAAGGACAGATGGGAGTCTAGGATTACACCTAGTACACTGGCATGAGGGGAGGGACTGATGATGGTGTTATCGATCTTGATGGTGAAGTCAGTGGAGGTGGCACGGGCTGGGGGGAATACGAAGAGCTCAGTGTTGGAAAGATTGAGTTTGAGGAAGTAAAGTGGCATCCAAGCAGATATGTCACTTAGTAGGCTAGTAATGCGAGTGGAGACTGAAGGGGTGAGGTGAGGGTTAGACAGATAGATTTGCGTGTCATCAGCATAGAGATGGTAGTTGAAGCCATGGGAGTTTATGAATTGACCAAGGGAGGAGGTGTAGATGGAGAAGAGAAGAGGTCCAAGGACAGAACCTTGAGGGACCCCTACAGAGAGAGGGAGGGAAGAAGAGCTGGCAGCGTTATAGTTAACACTGAAGGAGCGCTGCGATAGATAGGAGGAGAACCAGGAGAGAGCGTAGTCTCTGAGGCCAAGTGAGTGTAGTTTTTTGAGGAGGAGGGGATGGTCAACCGTATCAAAAGCTGCGGAGAGGTCAAGTAGTAAGAGTATTGAACAGTGGCCGTTGGTTTTAGCAGTTAGTAGATCATTAGTAGATCACATACTGTACATCAACAGTGACACAAGTGGTTTGAAGATCTGTAGGCAGAGCTAGAGAAGATCACCTGGAGACCATTCAAGGATGTCATTGAAAATTTTCTGGGCCACTACTGAGCACCAAACTACATTCAGTTGATTGACAGACATCTTACAGCATACAAGACCATGTCATGTCACTGAAGATTAATTTTCTGTGCACTTGGACTGCCTATCCAAAAATGTAGGAGCAGTCAGCAACAAACATGATGGAAGATTTCACCAGGACATTGTAACAATGGAAAACCAGTATCAGGACAACTTGAATCTGTCAATGCTGCCTGACTATCAATGGATACCTAAATTGTTACTAAATCCAGGACCCTGCATCCACTATATCTGGTCTCCCACAGTACACAGAACATGGAAATGCAATTATTTTAGTAAATATAAATTGCTAAATACCTTTTCGCATCAGTGATATATAGCAGTCTTGTGACTTCTATCAATGTCCAGCAGAGCACATGTTAAAGCTTGTAGGAGTTTTCTTTCTGCTCTAGGAGGATGCAGAACCACTGACCTCTGTCTGGACAGTGCTGATTGGTTCTGTGCTGATCCCATGCACTCTCCCCAAAAAAAATAAAAACCTTTCTAGCAATACACACTAAACTGAGCATGTGCAGAGGGTCTCCACACAATATGTCTTATCAGGAGATACGAGGGGGACACTGGAAGAAGGGGAGGATCAGAGAAGTCAGGATCAAACAACATTTGTAAACAATGCAGAGGATTAACCCCTTAGGTTCCACAGTGAGTATAACAAGCATGCTTTACAGCTGATTTTTCTGTTGTTTGTTTAGTAACATTTTAAGTGAGCTGCTTTGGAGTAAAAATGAAAATCAGCAGCAAAATGCATTTATCCCTGTTGATTTCATGCAATGTGCTGGAAACATAATGTGATTATATAAATCGTAGTCATTAAAAGTTAAATTCATATTTCTCAAGATTCCTATGTAACACAGTCACTGTGAAATTATTTTTGTGTTCAGTTTGAAGGGGTCTATCATAATTATTGAATGTATTTCAGGAAGCAAACGTTTTGAAAATATTTGTTGTTAAGTGTAATTACAGATAACAATATGGTGTCTACTTAAACATATTTTCATCCATTCACACATTTTTCTTAAGTTCAGTAACTTGGTTTCACTATATCAAGACTAGTGGCTCTCACAGACACCTAAATTATAGATGTTTAAATATCACATTTGTGAATTGTCTCAATATACACTGCATTGGAGAGCTTTGTTCTGGGAAATGAATGATGTTTGACATCTTTTGATGAACCTTCTAAGCAAGTTTTCTTTTTTCTGATTTGTTTACTTATTACAGTCACCAGGATAACATGATTATAGTTCCATCCTCTTTGATTCTTCTCAGCAGATAAAGGCATTGTGCAAGCTGCAATCTATGCTAATTACATACTGGGAGTGTCCATTATTGTACATTTTAGAACAAGTAATCTGAAATTGGCTCTGTAATATGAATTTAGTTTCAATCACTATTTTGATCACTACTGAAAATAAAATTGGATGGCAAAAACATATTTAGTATATAAATATTCTGAGTGATTAAAGGGCTGCAGCAATCGGCAAGAAGAAATTTAACACAAGTTGGACAAAGAGGATTCTCCAAGCACTGTAGCAGCTGAAGAGAGGGAAGACTGGCACTGTGGGGCTAAAGTATAATATTTTTTCTTTACAGGGAAAAACAGCCTCAGCCACGAAAGGCGGCGCAAGTAGGGTGCATGCGCACGCCCCCTACCCAGAAATGCAAAATCATGTATACATACATGATTTTGCGCACCCATGCCGGCCTGTAGCAGTATTTCTGCTATAGGGCAGTCGGGAAGCGGTTAATTACCACAGAGTTAGGTGGTTACAGACAGGTACTTCCTTGTCCCTGCTAACTTGGTCAGAAACCTTGATTAGAGGAACATGATATTATATAAAGGAAAGTGTCCAGGAAGTAGAAAGAGAGAACTGAACCACATGACCTTATACACACAGATGCTTCTGCATTTTTCACCCAGACCAGAAGCAGAAACGTTTAGGCAAGTATTCCTATGTTCTAATAGTTTCTTTCTACCTATCACAGCGCTCCTTCAGCGTTACCTATAACTCTGGCTCCTCCTCTTCACTCCCTCTTTCTGTAGGGGTACCTCAAGGTTCCATCCTTGGACCCCTACTCTTCTCCATCTACACCTCCTCCCTTGGTCAATTGATAAACTCCCCATGGCTTTAAGTACCATCTCTATGCTGATGACACACAAATCTATCTTTCTACCCTTCACCTCACCCCTTCAGTCTCCTCTCGCATTACTAACCTACTAAGCGACATATCGGCATGGATGTTACTCCACTTCCTCAAACTCAATCTTTCCAAAACTGAGCTCTTAGTATTCCCTCCAGCCCGTGCCCCCTCCCCTGACTTCTCCATCAAGATCAATAACACAACCATCAGTTCCTCCCCTCATGCCAGGGTGCTAGGTGTAATCCTAGACTTCCAACTGTCCTTTCAGTCACAAATCCAATCGCTGTTCAAACCTTGTAGACTTCACCTCTGCAACATCTCCAAGATACAGCTGTTCCTAACCTCGGAAACCACTAAGCAACTTATTCACTCCCTTGTTATATCTCGCCTTGACTATTGTAACTCACTCCTCATTGGCCTACCTAATCGCAGGCTATCCCCTCTTCAGTCTATCATGAACACTGCTGCCAGACTCATCCACCTTACTAACCGTTCTGTATCAGCCACCCCTCTCTGCCAATCCCTCCACTGGCTTCCCATTGCCCAACGGATAAAATTCAAAACATTAACAATAACATATAAAGCCATTTATAACTCTGCCCCCAAATTACATCACCAATCTTGTCTCCAAATATCAACCAATCTCCAAACCGAACTCTGTACCCCAATTTATCAGACTATTGCCTACTCTGCTCACTTTTAGGCGATCTCTGAAAACCTATCTCTTCAGGGAAGCCTATCCTGCCTTCAGCTAATAATGGAATCTTCTACTCCTCCCAGTCCATCCCCCACAGTTACTACCTTTTGTACCACTAGCTCCTCCCTGTTAGATTGTAAGCTCCAAGAAGCAGGGCCCTCCTATCCCTCTTGTATTGAACTGTATTGTTGCTGTATTGTCTCCCTTTATATTGTAAAGCGCTGAGCAAACTGTTGGCGCTATATAAATCCTGTATAATAATATTAATAAAAGTTTAACCGCAGCTGTCCATAGCTTTTTGACTGTGTATCTAAACCCTTGTGACAGAGGTATCTCTGTCCTATTGTTATGCACAGTGGCAGATAGCTAGGCTGATAGGTGGGTAGTGATCACCTTCCAGTATATTAGTGGGTAAACTTGTTTATTGCAATAGTTTATCTGCTGCAGCACTTGTTATTTTAGTTAACTCTGTGCCTTCTGGTCTGGAATTTTATAGCTAGTTTTAGCTCAGGGCACAATAATCAGCAAAGTTTAGACATCTGACAGTCAGTTTTTGTAGTTCGAGATACAGATGCATATCAGATTAGAAACTACTAGAGTAAGATAGGCTGACTCTGAGTTCTAGTGCCACACAAGGGTTTCTGCTGGAGAGAATCTGCAATCCAAGCAGTTGGAAGATCATTCCATCACAGCTGATCTCGTCTTCAGGTCTACGACACAAAGACAGATGCCACATTGTGATCATCTTTAGGGGCCTCCGTAACTCAACTCAGCTGCAATATTCATCTGGAGGTATCTTTATTAATAACTATATCTCCCAAGTATATGTGTACAAATAAATACAGTAGATGCACACTGGTATGGGAATAATAAAAACTTTATATAAGAAAAGATATATGTACAGTATATCCAGTGTACAAACAGGTATTATCAGCAAAAGGCCCAGCAAGAGTCCTAACATATTTATGCTTAATGTTATTTGCAGTAGTTCCTCTGGTCCCAATTACTTTGATTAGATTACTAGTTAATTTCCCAGGAAGGGAACCCCTTTCCTTCACAGTGTCTTGGGTGGAGGCACTGCCAACTTTATCAAACTCACTCTTCAATATAGCAAAGGTTTTGGTTTCTCTTATTTACCTACAGGTTTAAAGAACTATCCTGTTTGAGGAGGATCATTTCTCATACCTCCCACCCCCCTCCAAAAGTGGGCTACACTACTTTTTAATTTTACAACAGTGTAGCTGTCACTTTCACTGTCACTTTGTTCATGCAAGCCCCCCCCCCCCCCCACCACCAGCCCTCACATAACATAACTACCTTACCTGTGCTCCCCTGCAGTTTTTTGCTACTATGCAGTCAGCAATAACTAACACTTTCAGGTATGGAAGATTATCTGACCAGCTTCCCTGTGACGGTAGGCGCAATACAGCCAGTTGGGAGACATGAGCAATATCATGTGACTGGGGAAGTGACTTCACCTTTCCCCCAGGTCACCAACACTGCTGATCTCAACACTGGCCACAGCATAGTTATGTGGAAGTCTAGAACAGGTAAGAATTAGGGGGTAGGGGAAGCTCTTTTCAGAGACAGTCATCCCATGATGCATGAACAAAATTACTGTGTTTCTTTATGTTCTAACACATTTTTTTTACAATCAAATTAGCCAAATACATTACATTCCAAATACACAGCCTCTATCACTTTAAAATAGATAGGGGGGGGGGGGGCAGCAGCATTTACCATAATGTAAAAGCATGCATGGCATACTTGCACCATATGATAGATCTGAATTTTCTTTCTCCAGAGATGTAAGCTCTCCCTGCCATTACTTCATTTCTACCATATCATTTTGTTCTTCTACAAGACCAAAATCTTTTTCTTTAGCCAATGATGTGATTTCTTTACCTGTGTACTGTAATTACAATGTCCCAACTTCTACTCTCTGCTTCTTATAGAGCAGAGAGTGTACATTGCACTACACATGTACCAGTCATACAGAGTCCGCTATACTAAAAATCTACCTGACAGAAGTTAATATTTAAAAAGTAACTCCACTTTTATTGAGGAAAAATGCATTCCCCTCTGGGTGATCTATGTACATTGCAAAGATTTCAACAAACTTTGTTGCAGATTCCTACCTTTTGTTATTCTGAAGAAATAGCAATTTGTTTTTTTTTTTGTGTCCAAGTGCAGAGTGAATCTGTATGGAAATAATTTTATAGTTATCAATTAGCTGCTGCACTTCCAGGGTTCTGAGGAAAGTGTCAGGGTCTGCATCCCTTTAGGCATGGTTTCCCTTTGGAAGTATCTCACAAAAAATGAAATTTTTGTTGTAGGGGGTGCCAAAAATCTGACTTGTATCTTGGTGCAGACTTCTTGGAAAATCAGTAAGCCAATCACACAAGCAGGAAATTATTGGTGTTCTGTATACTATCTGTGTACAGAGCGCCTTCAGGTTGCCATACTGTATTTTACAGAAAATTACAAGAATGCAGATTAAAAAGAAAGAAGAAATTTTAATAACATTCAATTCAAATATGACTTGTATAGCAAGAGTAAACGCTATATTATTTTTTTATTTTCTACTTTTTTCCCACAAAAGTGGTTTTACCCTTTAATTTTATTTTGTCTAAAATAACATTATTAGGAAAAAGGAGATAGTTAAATAAAAACCATCATCTATTATGTAATGTTTCATTAATGTTTACCAGATATTTGATAAAGGGGAAGGGGGCTCATATTAACTCAGAGGGGTACCTTGTGAAAATTATTAATTACTAATTAGGTTTGAGGAAAAAAAAAAAATTTGTTTATATCCCAGGGCAAGTATAAACCCTTAAGTGAAAGGGGAACATTTAAGATGTGCATATAATCCTAGATTGTAAGCTCGAAAGAGTAGGGCCCTCTAACCCCTCGTGTGCTGTTTGTTGTTGCTGTACGGTTTCATGTATTGTCCCCACCCTCTATTTTACATTGCTGAGCAAACCCTTTGGCGCTATATAAACTCGATGTAATAATAATAATAATAATAATTATCCATGAAAGTGGAATTAGCCTTTAAAGTGTTACTAAACGCAGGACCCTGCACTCACTATATCTTGTCTCCCACAAAGAACATGGAAGTGCAATTATTTTAGTATATACAAACTGCTAATTACCTTTTCTCATCTGCAGTTAGAGCAGTCTTGTGACTTCTATCAGTGTCCAGCAGAGCACATGTTAAAGCTTGTAGGAGGAGTTTTCTTTCTGCTCTAGGACCCCTGACCTGTCTGGACAGTGCTGATTGGCCCTGTGCTGATCACATGCACTCTCCCAAGAAAAAAAAAACACCTCTCTAGCAGTACACACTAAACTGAGCATGTTCAGAGTGACTCCACACGATATGTCTTATTAGGAGATAAGAGGGGGGACACTGGAAGAAGGGGAGGATCAGATAAGTCGGGATCAAACAGCCTTTTTACAATGGAGAGCATTAACACCACAGTGAACATAACAAGCATGCTTTACTGCATATACAGACTGATTTTACTGTTGTGGGTAGTAATACTTTGGAGGCAACTAGAATTGGTACCTCTAAAAGAAAAATAAAATAGAGTGGTAGTCCTCTAGTAGGTAGAAATCTGGCTAGATTCTCACGAAAGTGCCCCACAGCAGTTCCATAGGTTTCCATTATGTGTCTCATGAATGGAAAATATTTTCTGTATGTGGTAGGTCCATTTATGGGGTCACTCCACCTAATGCTCACCACCATCAACCATGATAAGAGACTCAGAGGGTATGTGTACAAATTTTTCTCCTATTTATCTTCTGCCAATTAAGCATGGGATGTGAGTTGGCATGACAACACTGCTGGTGTAAAATCTCAAGGTCACAAGGCAGATGACTGGTATATGGATGGAGCCTAGTGAGCTGGCTCAAACTCTCACCTTGGAATCCTTCCAGGTCTTGTCCAGACAAAAAGAAGATACTCCCTCATTCTCCCTTTACCTATTAATCACCCACTGGACTTTACAAACTAACATCTGGCAAGTCAGAAGGTGAGAAGCAACAGCAGAGGGGCTGACCTGAGTAATATTACTGTATGTGTAAATCAGCCAACAACATAAAGGCCTCAGTACAAGCACAAAGATTGACTTTATTGCAGTATTGCTAACCTTAGTATACAGTATAGTAGATGAGCCTAAATAAAGATGGTGTCATCCTACCTCTGTGATATCTCTAAGGCAACAAATACCTATAGGGACCACGGTTACACATTATTAAGCATCTATAAACTAAGCACATATGTATATCTCTGAGGTTAGGTCTTCTTGACCTTGTTTCTATGACTCCATTGTAATCATATACGTATATAGAGACTGCTTTATTTACTTATTACATAGCCTTTGCTTTCTACTTAACAGTGCTACATACTGTACATCCTGTTTGTGCCTTGCTGCAAATCCAACAAAATAAGTCTTTGTTCTCCTTTTGCCTTCTTTGCCTAAGAATTACATCTTATCAAACTGGTATGGAATGCAGTCCTTACAGAGAGGGCTCACAGCATAGCTGCTCCAATGAACATTAGGACAAGAATGGGGAAAAAAGACCACAATAAATAATAAAAAAAACCTAACCTTGCTAACATTTCCCACCTTTCTCCACTATGCAATAAATAAATAAAAGGCATTTGAATGCAGTTAATCCCTAGTTACACATAGTAACCCTTTTCTGGTCACAATCATTTCATTAACGTTCTCCAGAACAACTGTAATAGCCATGCCAAGAGGAAGTGAGATCCATTTTCTGGGAGTATGGATCCCTTGTATAAAGGACATACAAACTTCATCAAAAAAGGAAGAAAGCAATGCATAAAACACAACAAAGAGTAATAGTGGTATAAAAAACATCAATGGAAAATCATAAACGTAGTGGGGGGGGGGGAATTTATATAAAAATGACATAGATACTAATGGTATAATAAGCAGAGGGACACTGGAAGGACAAAATAGATGAATAAGTATATGCCTCTGGGTTAATATTCTACGAACCACAATATTAGGACAGGTGGATAAATAAAAGAATGAATGGATAAAAAAATTATGAATAAACAATAGTGAATAAGTTAAAAAATTTAACTTACGTTTTTTATGGATTTTGTATATCCTATATATGATTTTGTTACCATTTTGCCACATAATTGTGATGCTCAGATAGACATCGTTTTCACTGTCTCTCTGTGTATCGTTCTCCTCTTTTCCCTCACCACTGTCCATTACTTTGTTTTCATCCCATATAAGGCTCCCTACCCCTCGTGTTCAACCTATGCCTGATGAAAGAACGCGCCGGTACACATCGGTCCTGAAACATGTTGCATCCCGATGATGTCAGATGCCAATGCCACGGCTCCGGACACACCAGAGGTTTTACCATCCATGGCTCTCCCTCTTGCAGAGCCTCCTGCTGACCAGCCGGTATTCACTCCTGAGCGGCATTCTACATCTGGCGATAGATGTTTTACATACTGATCCCTATGAGCTTTATTTACATTTACCACATGAGTTGTGAAGCTTACTTTTTATACAATAAACTGGCAAGCAGTCTGTACTTAGAGGCACTGTCTTTGCTTCTGTTTTCTCTACTTTAGAGTACTGCTTCACTCTATCACAGCCTGCCCTAGTGTTCTAAACCGAATACCCTCCACCCGACCTACAATACATCCCATTGAATTAAAGACTACATGGACTGCATTATTCATCCACCTGTTTACTCTCCTCACAATATAGCAATTCCTCTGATGCAGCCGGTTGGAACCGGCCAAACAGATCGGACTCACACATTTTTCTGCCTCTGCTGACAGCCCTACATGTGCTATATAACCACAATGGATGGATGGATAAGTACCGTATTTTCCGGCGTATAAGACGACTGGGCGTATAAGACGACCCCCTACTTTTCCTGTTAAAATATAGGGTTTGAGCTATACTCGCCGTATAAGACTACCCCTCTTCCAACGCACACCAAATAAAAAAACATCAGATTTGATTTCAATATGGTATGCTATTTCAGTATGGTATTCCAATGATGGGGTGCTATTCCTCCCCCTGACACCAATGATGAGGCACTACTCCTCCCACTGACATCAATGATGGGGCACTATTTCATCTACTGACACCAATGATGGGACACTATTCCTCCCACTGATACCAATGATGGGGCACTATTCCTCCCACTGACACCAATGATGGGGCACTATTCCTCCCACTGATACCAATGATGGGACACTATTCCTCCCACTGACACTAATGATGGTGCCCCATCATTAGTATCAGTGTGTGAGGAATAGTGCCCCATCATTAGTCAGTGGGAAGAATAGTGCCCCATCATTGGTGTCAGTGGGAAGAATTGTGCCCCATCATTGGTGTCATTGGGAGGAATAGTGTCCCATCATTAGTGTCAGTGGGAGGAATTGCGCCCCATCATTGGTATCAGTGGGGAGAATAGCGCCCCATCATTGGTGTCAGTGGGGAGGAGGAATAGTGCCCCATCGTTGGTGTCAGTGGGAGGAATAGTGCCCCATCATTGGTATCAGTGGGGAGAATAGTGCCCCATCATTGGTATCAGTGGGGGGAATAGTGCCTCATGGTTGGTGTCAGTGGGAGGAATAGTGCCCCATCATTGGTGTCAGTGGGGGAGGAATAGTGCCCCATCATTGGTGTCAGTGGGGGGAATAGTGCCCCATCATTGGTGTCAGTGGGAGGAATAGTGCCCCATCACTGGTGTCAGTGGGGAGAAACAGTGCCTCATCGTTGGTGTCAGTGTGGAGAGGAATAGTGCCTCATCGTTGGTGTCAGTGTGGAGGAGGAATAGTGCCTCATCGTTGGTGTGAGTGTGGAGGAGGAATAGTGCCCCATCGTTAGTGTCAGTGGGGGAGAGGAGCAGCTGCTCCTTCTTCCAGTTCGGCCGCTCGATTTTCGCGGGGCCGCTCGGCTCCGCCTCCTCGCCGGTGATTGGTCGCCTGTGTGCCTTTCCAGTGCTGGCGCCCAATCACCGGTGAGGAGGCGGAGCCGAGCGGCCGCGTGACCATCGAGTGGCCGAACTGAAAGAAGGAGCAGCCGAGCTTCCTGGACCGGATCGTCGTGGGACCAGAGCCAGGTAAGGTACAGCAGCCCCTCTGCCCACCCCTGTACTTAGTGTCCGTTGGAGGAGGAGGGGGAGGAGGAGGAGGAAAAAGTGCCGCCCTGACCCAGCTCGCACCGGTGTATAAGACGACCCCCCCCCGACTTTTCATAAGATTTTCAGGGGTTGAAAAGTCGTCTTATACGCCGGAAAATACGGTAGTTTTGGCAACACCTCTGTCCCTGTTTATTTCATATCTTCAATGGCTAGAAGTATGACATTTTTTTTGCATAGTATATTTTCTTCCTATAGTTTTGAGCTGTACTACTTATTCTGGTTGGATCCCCTGTGAAAACCTGTGTATATATTATAGCTGTGCAGAGCCAGTCTTTGCATGTTAGTGGTGCTCTGGCCAATTCCGAGAGTATTGGCAGGAAGTATCAAAAAATTCCTCCCTACTTTCACAATGACTTGTGGCAAAAATGCATATGCATTTTTACCATGTGTGCGGTGCGTTTTTGAGCGTTTTTGATACATTTTTGACACATTTTCCTTTTATTTAAATTGGGAGGTGCACCGAACCTGCAACAAAAATGCAGCAAGCAGGATTTTGAAAAAAGCACCTGACCCACAACTAATCATTGTAAAGCGTTCCATAGGAATACATGATCCCACGTTTTTCTTTCTGCTTTATTTAATGCAAAAGTGAAAGAAAAACGGATAAGTGTGAAAACAGCCTTATACTGCAGACAGTCAGTGTCTACCAGCACAGAGCCGGTTCCTATGGTTCTGGTGATATTTTGGTGGAACCACTGTACATACGGAAAGATGTCACTGATGTTTGTTTGCATGAATGAATGTCAACATAATCTGTCTATGGATGTTTCTGATGAATATGTGGCAGTTGCTGGTATACAGTTGCAAGAAAAAGTATGTGAACCCCTTGGGATTATGTGGAGTTTTACATGAATTGGGCATAAAATGTGCTCTGAACGTCATCTAAGTCACAACAATAGAAGAACATATGTACACTAACATCTAAAACATTCAGAGTGCAGGGAGGAAAAAGTATGCGAGGCCCTAGCTTAATGACTTCTCCCAGAGCTAATTGGAGCCAGGAGTGAGCCGAACCTTGACTCCAATCAGTGT